GCAACAGTGTCCCACAAGAGTGTCCTGCAAGTGACCCACAGAGTGTCTCACAAGAGTGCCCCACAAGAATGTCTGACAAGAGTGTCCCATAAGAGTGACCCACAAGAGTGTCCAAAAAGAGGGTCCCACAAGAATGTCCGACAAGAGTGTCCCATAAGAGTGTCCCACAAGAGTGTCCTATGAGAGTGTCCCACAAGGAGTGTCCTACAAGAGTGTCGTGTAAGAGTGACCCATAAGAGTGTCCCAGAAGAGTGTCCTACAAGAGTGTCTACAAGAGTGTCCCGCAAGAGTGTCCCACAAGAGTGTCCTGCAAGTGACGCACAAGAGTGTCCTACAAGAGTGTCCCACAAGAGCGTCCCACAAGAGAGTGTCCTACAAGAGTGTCGCGCAAGAGTGTCCTACGAGAGTGTCCCACAAGAGTGTCCCACAAGAGTGCCCCGCAACAGTGTCCCACAAGAGTGTCCTGCAAGTGACCCACAGAGTGTCCCACGAGAGTGTCCTACAAGTGTCCCACAAGAGTGTCCTATAAGAGTGTCCCACAAGGGTGTCCTACAAGAGTGCCCCGCAAGAGTTTCCTACAAGAGTGTCCCACAAGAGTGTCCCACAAGAGTGTCCTACAAGAGTGTCCTACAAGAGTGTCCCACAAGAGTGTCCTGCAAGTGACCCACAAGAGTGTCCCACAAGAGTGTCTCACAAGAGTGTCCCTTGAGAGTGCCCTGCAAGAGTATCCCACAAGAGTTTCCTACAAGAGTGTCCCACAAGAGTGTCCTACAAGAGTGTCCTACAAGAGTGTCCCACAAGAGTGTCCCACAAGAGTGTCCTACAAGAGTGTTCCAGAAGAGTGGCCCACAAGAGTGTCCTATAAGAGTGTCCCACAAGAGTGTCCTACAAGAGTGTCCCACAAGAGTTTCCTACAAGAGTGTCGTGTAAGAGTGACCCACAAGAGTGTCCTACAAGAGTGTCTCACAAGAGAGTGTCCCATAAGAGTGTCCCACAAGAGTGTCCTACAAGAGTGTCCCACGAGAGTGTCCTACAAGAGTGTCCCACAAGAGTGTCCTACAAGAGTGTCCCACAGGAGTGTCCCACAAGAGTGTCCTGTAAGAGTGTTCCACAAGAGTGTCCTGCAAGAGTGACCCACAGGAGTATCCTACAAGAGTGTCCCACAAGAGTGTCCTACAAGAGTGTCATTTGGACATATGTATATAGCTGTTCGAGCGTGTTTGCATTCGGGTTCGTGGGCTCCATCTTGTTTTATTCACATGTTTGCTGTGACTTGACTGTGAAGGTAACTCTTTAGTGAGTCTTTCAGGGGCTTCAATGCAGATTCAATAGGGTGCAAAGAATTGTTGAACTGGCTGCGCTTCAGAGTTAATTGCTTTGGTCGTTGTCTTTTGGTCAGCTTCACTCTAGAGTTAATTGGGCCAAAAACATTTATGTTGCTCAACTTGACTTCAGATTTCACTCTGGCATAATATAATGTGCTGGACATGTGGACCTGCTTTTATCTTTTGTTTCCAGCTTGGTACGATTTCTTTGGCTTGCTCTATCGAAGAGATAGGGCTTTAGAAGTTGCAGCAGAAGTTGTAGAGGCGCCAGAAGATGGCAGCAATGGGCATGCAGTTGTAGATGAGGCAGCTCTATAGAGGATGGCAAGGTAGATGAGCTGTCAGAGGCTCCTTTTGTTGCAGAAGCTGTGAGAAGGGAGGCGACAAAGCGCATGTTGAGCGCCCCGGATCCTACGTGTCATGGTCTCGCGCAAACATGCGCCTGTGGAGCTGTACTTGCCGGGGTTGCCTAGCTTTGACAAAACCAATGCCTTCTTGCATTGTCGTGGCGCTGGCGATTTGGAAGATTCCGCCTGCTTTGCCACTTTAGTGAAGGGAGGGCGATGCTCCAGGCCAAGAATGAATAATTCGAATTTCTGCAAGCAGCACAGTCATGAAGTGCTGAAACAGGAACGTCAACAAGAATGCTAGCAAGCGATGGCAGGCTCTGTCCAGGAGAGTGTGGCTTCATCATGCGCTTCAAAGTAGAACTCCATATTTGAAGCAAGGAAACAAAAATGGGTCGATTGTTATTTATGTCTTCCCTGCAACTGCTTTTAGCCAGAAACTAACTTGTGCTGCGCGCAGGATGCCGCGGGCCGGTACGAGAGAGAACAGTTGGAAATGGCCCTGCAGCTTTCCTTAGCCGAGAACGCCGAGGCAGCAAAGAGGCGATCGGAGAGTTGGGCTAAGCTGGCACCTCGTTTGAAGGAACTCGGTTTGGAGGCCTTGGACACACACACAATAGCTGACGGAAGCTGCCAGTTCGTCTGTCTTCGCTTCGCGGCACGTATCCGCGTGGATTGAGCAGATTTCCGTTCCCAAGTTGTGAATTTCCTCCGGCAGTTGCTGCAGATGTTTGCTGATAACATCAGCGCCAAATTCACCAGCTTTGAGGCTTACCTGCAAAACATGAGCATGCCCTCGACTTGGGGTCCCTTCAATCGGCAGCTTGCTTGCCTCCTTTTGACACCAATACGTGTCCTCTCAGACTCCGAAGTTGAATCAGAACGTCTTTCCACCCCACCCCCTACCATTGCCCCAGAAGTTTGGGGACAAGACATTGTAATATGCCACGTTGGCAGCAATCACTTTGAAGCAACAGCGCTTCTGGCTGAAAGCCGGGCCGACGTGAAGGCGGAGCCCAAACGGATTAAGGTGGAGCGATAGAAAGGAGCATAACTCCACATTTAAGACCCTTTCAGCTTTAGATTTTATATCGGTTAGCTCAAATCTAGAGCCCATACTTTGCACATTCTCCATTCCACATCCAGGGTATCAACTTGGAAGTGAATCCAAACAGAACAGTCTGGACCAACCAAGCCTCAGAAAAGGCTCAAATCCAGAGTTCGCCTCTTCTCAACTCTTGATTCTAGCCACGCCCTGGGTTGCCTAGCTGGCCAGGGACAGAACTTCGGGAACTTTCGACGTATGGTCACAGACTTCGGGAGCTTTCGGGGGTTTTCCGTACCACTGGGACATGTTGTGAGGTGGCCTGGGGCATGAAAACGTCTGGGTACACACATCACAAACAAGAGACACCGTGATGTGTATACCTGAGATACACCTGGGTATACACCGTCAGAAGACAAGGCCTTCTAAGATCCCCGTGTCCCTAGCTGTGGGTTGCTGTCACTGAAGCAACGGAGCGTGCGCAGGCCTTTGCCCTGAGAGTTCTGCGCAATCTCTTTGACCCCGGGCGGAAGGCCGATGTTGGGTGATGGCCTTGTTACTAGCTTCTTGTTACTCGTAGTAATGGCCTCCAACCTACTTGTGATGGCCTCCACCAAATAGCGTCCATGTTACGTTCTAAGCTTCTTGTTGCTAGTAATCCCAGGAGCACCCCGAATGTAGCGTCCTCTTGCTCCGTTCGAGTCACGATGCCTTTGTTTCGGCCTGGCCGACGGCGCTCTTCGACGCCAGGGTGACGCCGACGTGGTGCGATTCGTCCCACAAGCGCTGAGTGGGGCGCTGACAGCTGCGATGCCAGCGCATCCCGTGCTTGGCCGGGGGCTTTGTATGGCTTTCCTGATCAGCAAGATTTCGCCTTAAACTCAAAGGTTTCTCCACCAAAGTGCCCAAACGCGACACAATTCTTGTGCAACAGTTGCGTGCAACTTGCGAAGTTCAAAACTTGGTATGCCTTTGGTGCCTCTGCTTGCCCCAACTCTATGAATAGGAGCGAGCCAGCCTTGATGTGTGGGGCCTTTGGGGGAGTGAGGCCTTTCAACCTGAGATGCAACCGATCTGAGGCTTGGAGGTCCTTGGCACCCTAGCTTTGAAAGAGGAATGCCCCGCAAAAGGGTCATTGGGCGAAAGGCAAGTCGGAGAGATTCTGATCAAAGACACGCCACTCGGAGCCTAGGAGTCGGACGCTGTTGCCATAGTGAATGCACCATCCATGGTTGTTCCGCCATGGTTGTTCTGTTGGCACCTTCCACTTCTTCCAGTGATCCTCTTCACACACCCTCCTGGGGTGGTGTCCGTCTCTTTCCTTTGGTCCTCTGGACTTCAGTCTGTGGTCTCTATCAAAGAGAGGGTGCCTTCCGTTTGGGAATCGGAATCTCAGGGCATTTGTGAGTTTGCCCGGGCCATATCAAAAGGTCTTCTGTTCATGAACTCCAATGTGAACCAGCAGCCCTTGATGGGTGCACTGGACTTCCATGTGTCCAGGACTTCCGCGCATACTTTGCAAACCAGCAGCCCTTGACAAAGTTCTTGGCACACTGCTGCCTACAGCCGCTTGGCCCAATAAGCCCAGCTAAATCGCTCACGGTCTTTGCACTCTTGAGAGGTCCATATTGGAGCCATATGCGCATGTCATTTGAGAATTTGTTGCCTTCAGGATGCAACGTCACAACCAGTAGAGTGGTATGTTTTTTCACCAAGTGGCTCACTCGTTCGGTTTTGAGCCAGTGTATATGTCCTTCACAGGCACATATCTTGTACCCAAATCCGTTGTGTCCTTTGGGATTTGCATCTGTTTGTTTCAGGCCAGACACTTGCAAAGGCGAAGGGTTTTTCATCGGGGATGCTCATGCGGCTTACTGAGTCAACCGTGCCAAATTCCAGGGTGTTGATGCTGAGCGCCAGCATTGTCTCAAAACTCGGGGTGTTGGCCAAAGTCAATGTCTAGCTGCCTATTCAGAGTAGCTCGAGCAGGCTTGGCCTGCAACCGCGAAGAAGCTTGAACCCTTTGTGAGTTGATTGGGTTACTATGGGTCGGCTGTGAGCCTTGCAGGTTCAGATGTCGCAGCTGTACAAAGAGCCGCAAGCAGGCAGAGTGGAGTCCTGAAGGGTGGCCTCGGAGATCTCTCGGGTGGTCCATCCAGAGCTAGGCTTCTGGCAGCTTACCAAAGCTTTCTAAAGCTCATGTCTGCAACAGCCTTTGAACTTTGGACACACTCTACATTGCATGAGCACAGTACCCTGTATGAACGATGGATCTGTAAGGTTTGATGTGATATTGGAAATTGTACTTTGAGCAGCGTTTGAAACACTTCATCTTAGCAGAGTGCAGTATCAGTCATATCTTCCTGGCCTTGCCAAACGCTGCATTCATCATTCCCACTATAGAGTCAGTATCCATGAGAATACTGGCCCTAAGTGTAGAACCAGATGAACACCCTGACGGATGCATCCAATATGCGGGTTTCATGCCTTTTCTTTCTTCTATTTTTTTAGATATAACAGTGTTCTTTTTGCTTGGCACAGCTTGGATGGCCTTCTCTGAGCGATTTGGGCTGCGAGAGCTTGGATGGCAGGTGCCTCGCCCATCTGGGTGTGAGCAGCGCTCAGCGGCACCAAGTAGTGGCACTGAGAGGTAGGGCCATAGGGTGACATGCCTCCAACCCAATGGCCTCCAACTTACTAGCTGAGGCCATTCAAACAGTCAAGCAAATTTGCATAACTCCTTGATTTGCAATGCAGTGAGTGCAGATGTTGCCACAAGACCAGCGTTGGGGCATGCAATCTGCTGGACTGGTGGGGAGGTTGGGAGGGCGGACGTAGGGAAGTTCCCTACACGCTTGTTGATGATCCGGGGTTGCAACCGGGTGTGCAGGGGGTTCACTCCGCTCATCGGTTTAGGAGGTGGGTTGCATTTCCGCTCGGAGGTCTCTTTGGATCCACCGCCGATCTGACAGTGAAAGCCTACCTAGGCACGGTTTCTTTTGGACATGGGGTGACGTGCGCACGGGTTTGACGGCGTTTTTTTTGCGCCACGTTCTTTCCAAGGCTTGGCAACGATCGGTCCAGATGGATCAGATGGGATTAGCAACAAAACGGTGCTGCTGATCGTGCAGGATCGTGTATCTTTGTCCATGACCAACCTGCTGTTGATCAGGTTTCAATAGTTCGTTCGTTCAACAGTTGGACCTGCGGGGGACCTGCAGCCGGGGGGATGATCCAGCCGCAGAAGTTGCAGAAGGGCGAGGGGTCAAATATCCTCCTCTTTTGGTGTCAAATATGACCCTTTTTAAGAGACTGTCATGAATTGGCATAGTTTTTCCACGCACACGTCTCGGACACCTGTGTCTCGGACAGGGTTTCGGACAGTGCGGACAGTGAGGTCTCGGACATGTCCATGTCTCGGACATCAACGTCTCGGACATTCTCGGACAGTGAGGTCTTGGACATTTTGATGTCTTGGACAGGTCTCGGACAGTATACTGTCTCGGAAGGTGGTCTCGGACGTGTCAGCCGCGACGTCTCGGACACTGAAAGGAGGGATATTTGACGCCAAGTGGGGGGATATTTGACCCGCCCCCTTTGCAGAAAGCGACCTGTTGCGAGAGGACCTCTAGATTCTAGAAGAAAGAACTGGTGAACTCCAGTATTTGGGTCCAACTTCACCACTCGTGTGCGTTTAAGGCCTTTTACGGCCCGAGCCGGAAGGCCATTTACCAGAGCCCGTGACAGGCATTGCTCTGGGCATCGAGCATGAGACCCAACGGACCCAACTCTTTCCAGGCTTGGGAGGAATGAAGACGAAAGCGATGGCCTCCAACCTAGAGGCGATCGCCTCCTATGACAATTAGACAATTATATATTATATAAACACATATACTAATGACAATTCGAGTTGCTCAAGCTAACATGCTTGTACACGACACTGTCTTTTTCACTCCACAACCAGGCCGCCTTGCGGAGCTCTAGAGGCCGCTCGTTGAACTTGTCCAAGTCTGGCAGGTCAGGTACATCCCAAAAAGGGATGTGACAGCGACACAAGATGAAGGATTCAATAAAGAAAGCCAGGTTGCACCTCCGAATACCGACAAATACTGATATGATTGAACAAACTGCTTTTTGACTGTGGAAGAAGTTCATTCATGTTGTAGCAGCAGACGGCACACAGGGTTGTTCTGATGGATGTGTCTCACGTTGCGGGGTTGCTGCAGACTGCGGAAATCCTTTGAGACATCCTTGCATCTACAGATGGTTTGTGCTTTCAGAAACTGATTAATGCCTTGCTTGAATGCTTGCAAGACATCCCAGCTTCAAGCTTTGACACAAGTAAATGCCGCGTAGCCATTAAGACCTCACCCAAATGCCCCAAGTCAACTGCAAGAACCTTTAACTTGCAGGACTGACTTTAGCACAGTTCTGACCGATTCAGAACCTAAACAAAGGAAGCAACAACAATGCCTTTGTCAGCCAAACAATATCCGACGGTTACCAAGCCGCGCGGGGTGGACACCTCGATGGCGCCTTGTTGGTCCGAAGCTTGTTGGGATGACCATGGCGCTTGAATCCTCATTCAACCTGCATATTGGACCAGTGCGTTCCGATGTCATACCTATTCACTCAATGCTGAAATCAGGAACCGACCTTGTGTGAATGATCGGCCACTTAACCTGCCGCTTTGGTCACTTCGACCAGTGTACCAACTGAACTTTTAAGGACCTCATGAGCGGTGCCGATGCGGCCGGTGGGGCGGGCCGGCGGCCTGCTCCCTACGAGGCGGGGACGGCGTAGACACGAAGGACGGCAGAGGAAGAGAATTTCCACCAAGTCGAGCGGCGCGAATCTGCTTGTCGCGACCAAAACGTCAGCACAGGTTGACAAGTTCGGTGGCGTGGATATGCGTGGATTTGTGAAAAAAACTCAACACTAAGGCACATCAAGTCTAGATGCATGTGAATTCAGTCAGAGCAACACCTGAAGCGGAAGCGGTTTGAGGGCAGGTTGGTCGGTTCAACAGTCTTTGGTTTCCTTTGTCGTCCTGGAAATGCCAGACTGGTGCCGCCACTGCGGCAGCGCCACAGCGTGCTCCCCAACACGCAGAGAGGGACTTGATGGGACGCTAAGCAGTGGAGTCTGCATCACTATGCAGCGGACGCTAATGCCCTCCTAGTGACTAACAGATTGAATCTTTTTGACCCCCGTCATCCCAACACAGAACACAGGACCCCGTCGTTTTGCTCTTGTTCGCATGGCCATGTGTGGCCAACTCAATAAGGAAAACCACAGATGTGTCTGATCTCTAACACGCCAAATTGGAAAAATTGAAATCCCCATCCAGGTCTTTACCTGTTCTGCCAGAAGAGTCGGAAGCTGGAGATGGTCGACGAGAGGAGTGACTCATCCGTGAGCTCTTGAGACGAAGGGTGGCGTAGGTTTTTCAGAAGTAACTTTTCAGATCCTTTATATAAACGAAAACTCGTGCTGAAATGTTGAATCCTCAGGAGTCAGATCTCTGGCAGTTCTCACAGACCCTTGGCCATGAGCTCAACAAAAGGCAACAACACCACATCACAGAATGAGATCTCACCATTCATGGTATACAGGGATATCAACTCTGTCCAAAGGTCTCCTGCCGTTCTTTCATCTTAAGAGTTCTCAAGTGATCGTGAGGACTGCCTTAGGGACCTTAAGCGATGGGCTGCAGCCAAAAACATATCAGATCTTTGAACATGCCACAGCCATGGTAGGCTTTGACTGACTTCTGATTCCCGTACAGTGATTTTGCGCTGAGGTGTCGACCTTGAACAGCACTCGGATTTGTTTTGGGTGGTGCAGGAGGCCAGGCAGAGCCAGTTCCCAAGTGTGAGAGAAGAGTGCCGAAGAGTACCAACTTGATGCATGAAAAGCTGCCCATCACTTTAGGAGAATTCGCGAAGGGCCCGATCGCTGGTAGAACCTGCAAGACACTTTTCTCGGTAGGCCTTCAACGCACCTTTGCCCTTGAGTTGGACTGAATACACCGATGACGAGGGACGGGTGTACTTCTTCAACCAGGCATGGGCTTGTCAGGCTTGTCAGGCTTGAGACATAAGTTTGCCAATTTGATTTTTTGCAAACATTCTTCCTTGATGTCAACGGATTCGATTGTGCGCACTGCCAATGGATTCGCCTGTACACCCCTTCGCTCTTTTTCGGTGGGCCAGTCCTCAAGTCAAAGCACTTGGGAGCATCCGATGGACAGCGTCTACCGGGAGCTCTTGAGTGGGGAGCCCTAGGTGCCCAGGACATGCCCAGGTGATTGGAGCCGCGGAAGATTTCCTGCTTCCTGTGTTCGAACTGTTCAATGTCATGACTTTCCAGGGGGTCATGGCCATGGTGTTGGATTTACCGAACTTCCACAGGTTTCTTCGAACATTCTTGCGACAGCAGTCTGAGCTATATAAGTGCTTTAAGACTGCGAGCAGTCCCGCCGTCCGCGCGGTGTGTCGATCACTGCTCAGCCGCGCGGTGCACTTGGTGGTGTCGAGAACAGCGCCATGGGATCTGCGGCCTCCTCGTTGAAAGCCGCGGCGGCCTCCGCCTCGGTGCCCCGGCAGGTGCAGGGTGTTTGGATCAAAGGGGTTCAGACAGGTTCGGGGGTGTTGATGAGCGTCATCCATGTGCGCATGACATGCCACTTGATGCTTGTTTTCGTGGAGCTTTTCACCATGGCCTAAATTAGGCTCAAGAGTGTTCGCTTTGTTAGAAACAGGTGCTTTCCGTCATGTCGTACGTGACCGCTCTTTAGGGATCGCATTCACATTGGTGCCGCGGAGCAGCTGGTGCGACCCAGGTGGTTGATGACCTCACGAGGTCGTGGTGGCGGACGAGTATGGCAAGCCCGTGACACCGCCACCACTGAAGAGAATGAGCCCGATAACGACCCCTGGGCCACTTGGTTGGATAAAGGGAAAGGAAAAGGCAAAGAGCCTGCCGCCGCCGCTGAAGCACAACCTCCTGGAGATCTTCAAGATCATGAGTCTTGGCCTACCGCTTCTTGGCATGGCTCTTGGGAGGACGAAGCATGGCAGGGTGAAGAAGGCTGGGGCGATGAGGCTTGGCATGAGGACGCATGGGGGGGTGATGAGTCTTGGCTTTATCACCATTATGGTGGTCCTCGATACCATGCCTCGAGCACCGGCTGGGATGACGCAGCATGGGATGCCGCTTCGTCCGGAAATGGATGGCTGTCAGATGCCCAGCTTCGCCGGTTCAACACGGCGCCCCTTGGCCGCATGACCGCCACTTCAGATGGCAAATGGCTTGGATCCTTTCACCCCGTCGGTGACCCAGGTGGAGTTGAATGGGATGGGAGACCCTCCCCTCCCGACCAGTTCAAGGACATGAAGCCCACTGAACGTGTCAAAGTCCCTTCCTTTGATGGGGGCATTTGTGATGAGACCAATCCCGAAGCCATCGGGAAGTCAGCTCGCTCGTACATCCGGCGAGTACAGGCCTGGTTGCGAGTGACCAAACTTCCTCCAGCTCATCAGGCCCTCGCCCTCTATGACGCTCTCACCGACAAGGCTTGGGTCGTGGCGGAAGAGCTGGATCTAGATGTTTTGAGCACCTCGCATGGAGTGCCTTACTTTTTGGAGTGGGTGCAAACTCGCTTTATGGATGTTGAGGTCACAAAGATCTCCCAGCTCATGACCGACTTGTTCCGTCGATGCAAGAGGAAGCCTGAGCAGTCGGTCCGGGAGTTCAATGTTGAGTTTGAGAGGATGGTCCTCCGACTTCATGAAGTCCGATGCGAGTTGCCACCCTTGGTGAAAGCTTGGCTTTATGTTGACAAACTGAGGTTGTCCGAGGCTGAGGAGCTGTCCCTGCTGGCTTCCGTGGGCAACGAGTATGACGTCAGGAAACTTCAGCATGCAGCCTTGGTTCAGGACAGGACCTTACGTCATGCTCGCACTGCACCCGCGGCTGCGGATGGCTACAAGCAGAAGCCTCGATGGAAGCATTCGGTCCACATGACCATGGATGGGGCATCCTCTGACGACGAAGACGCCCAAGGCGCCGAGAGTGAGACCTCCGTCCTGGTCGATGAAGAGACCGCTCAGGCCGAGCACATTGCCTACATGACCTACCAGGGCGCCAAGGCCAAGTACAAGGAGTCTCTCCGTGGGCGTGGCACCGATCCGGCGGAGCTCAAACGCCGGTCCGAAGAACGCCTTCGCTTGGCCAAGCAAAGAAGCTATTGCAGCGCCTGCAAGAGACGAGGGCATTGGCACAAAGACCCTGAATGCCCTTTGAAGGGGCAGAGACCTTCCTCGTCGGCTGCACCCTCAGACGGCTCCGGACATGTTCACCAAGCCCAGGTATGCCACACCGTGCAGTCTTGCTATATGACCGCCTTTGAGGAGACGTCGATTCCCGAGCTCCCCGAGGGTGGCCTCCAGGACAAGAGCTATGCCTTGGCCATCGTGGACACCGCCTGCACCAAGTCGGTGGCAGGGTACCATTGGTTTGAGGAGTTCATCGAACAAGCTGAGGCCCGTAATCATGCTGTGAAGATCGTCGATGAGATTGAGCATTTCAAGTTTGGCGCCTCCAGGGTGCATAGATCCACATTCGCTGTGTGGGTCTGGTTTGGCATAGCCCACCACTGGGTAGCAGTGAAGGTAGCAATTGTGCAGTGCCGAGTTCCGTTGCTCTTGAGCCGGCCGGCCTTGGCTGGCCTTGGCACTACTTTTGACATTGAGGCACAGCAGCTCTCAATGGCTCGTTTGGGAGTGCAAGGACTCCCGCTTGAACAAAGTGACACCGGTCACCCGGCCTTAGCCGTGACCCATTTTCCTCAAGGTAGCCCACCCGATCTGGCCGCCTGTTCAGCTGGAGAGATTTGGATCCCAGTCTCGCAGGTATACATGAGCACCGCTGCCACGACCGATCGGGGTGTCGAGGAGGCTTCCTTTCAAAGCAAGTTCTACCCCAAGAAGGTCCCCCGGGAGATTGAGAACATGTTGAAGGCATCCCCTTTGGCACCAACTTCGTTTTATTCATGGTGGAAAGGA